TGGTTACAAAAGATCCGGTTTTTGGCCGAGACACCCAAGGGTGTCTCGGCCTTGGCCGAGACACCGTAGGGTGTCTCGTTGGTCCGAGACACTCCATTGAGGTGTATTCATCTGCTTCCGCTATAAATTCTTCGCCCGAACTCGGATTTGAGTGATTCGAAATGCGTTGGAAACCTGACGAGGAGTTCTATCAGTTCCGATGGTTAGATCATCTGTTGAATGAATGAGACACGGAGGGCATTGTTCCTTTTGTAAACATCGTGGGGCTCCTGATTAGCCCGTACCTTCGTTAGTTCACGTAGTTCGTCGATTCACTTCAATCGTTCATCGACATCAATCAAACTCTTGTGAACCGGATAGTGACGTTCATCGCCGTTCCTTAACACTGAGCTGTTCGCGGAGACGTATAGGCAATTTTTGATGCCTACAGATACCCCCTCCAAAGCATTCCAGACTCGTTTCTTTTATAGAAGATCAAACTTCTGTTGATCGAACTCGTATTCGATCTCTTCGTTCACCCGGATCTTGAATGTCGGTTGCGTCATGACAGCCTCGGCAGCTTCCCGATACATTAGTTATCCTGAAGATACTCGGACTGGGTTAACCTTAGAGGTAACTGTGGTCGCTAATTTGTTTTCGTCGAAAGTTGCCTTAGTCATTGATTTCATTAAACTTCGAACGTTACAAATGAATTCAAATAACAAAAGAATAAAAGATTACAACTTTCTTGAAAATAACACAAGATCACTTTGGATGTGATTGGTCTAGCCTTCAGTCGGCGTAAAGGACCTGTAGTTAGCTTCAACTCTTGGCTCCCTCGATTTTCGGTCTATTCAATGCTTTGACGAATGGCCGAAGTTCTTCCAACGCTGCGTTTATCGCCTGGCCGTCGTCGGAGTCTCGAGTCTATTACCAGTGAGTTGAGTTTGGCTCGTGGACTTAGGGTTTCAGATCACCGTATGTTGATTTTTGGTCGCAACGCGTTGACTGGCGTTGACCTAGGGTTACGCGTTGACCGGCGTTGACCCTAGGGTTTCGAATGTCGAACGTTGACTTTTTGTCGCAACGCGTTGACTGGCGTTGACCTAAGGTTACGTGTGGACCGGCGTTGACCCTAGGGTTTCGAATGTCGAACGTTGACTTTTTGTCATAACGTGTTGACTGGCGTTTACCTAGGGTCACGCGTTGATCGGCGTTGACCTTAGGGTTTCGAACGTCGAACGTTGACTTTTTATCGCAACGCGTTGGCTGGCGTTGACCTAGGGTTACGCGTTGACCGGCGTTGACCCTAGGGTTTCGAACATCGAATGTTGATTGGTGTCGATTTTCATCAAGGCATCCAATAACCGACGAAAACGGGCGAATTCGGGCCTAACATGGCATATATATAGGCGTACGGGGACCAAACGAGACCCGAGACACCCGTGGGTGTCTCAACCCTGGCCGAGACACCTATGGGTGTCTCAGCTTTGGCCGAGACACCCTTGGGTGTCTCGGTTCTAGAGCCGAGACACACACACCCCCTTTGCCTTTTTTCTTTTGTTTGTTTCCTTTTTTTGTTTCCCCCTCTTTCCAAAATTCAAAAAGATTCCCTTTCCTTCTAAAGCTCTTTCTTCCTCCTTTCATCCTTCCACCATTGTTTCCTTTCTTTCAAGAATCCTTAACCCACTCTAACTCTCACATTTAAAACCTCAAACAAGCTCTCTTTTTTTTTTTTTTGAAAAGATTGTATCTTTATGCTTGTAATGGGGGTATGACATGAATTTACATGCCAAGATCCTAGCTTTTTGTTCTCATGAGTTTAAAAGATAGGCTCTTTGATGATGGGTGGTGTATGCACAAGGATTAATTTTGTTCGAGGGGTTTATTTGCAAAAAAGCAACCCACAAAGTGTAGAGGGGTTTATTTGCAAAAAGAGCTGAAATTTTAGGGCTGAAATTCCAAAAGTTTAGACCACAAACCCCTGACCAAAGCTTTGATAAAGGCATGCGGAAACTAAACCGAAATTTGTGGAGGGGTCTTTTTTACAAAGTTGGCTAAATTTCACGAAAGGGTTTATTTGTAAAATTAACCGAAATTGTGAGATGTTGGGGGTGCTAGATGATCAAATATGATGACCATGACCCAATTCGAGCGTGTCCTTGACCCAAATTTAGCCTTGAACACGAGGGGTATTTTGGGTATTTCACCAAAATTTACCGCAAAAATGACAATCATTGTTTTGTATGCACGAAATTTGTAGGTTTAATTAGACTTCAACTATAAAATCCTATTTATTCATAGGACTTTAGTTCAAGTTCTTAATTTCCCTTTTAAATTTCGTGTATTCATATTTTAGATTGTACCTGACTTGCTGCTTTTCATTGCAGATTCTTTATGTCTCCACGTCGACCTCGACCTCCTAGGAGTCGCTCCCGTTCGCAGCCTAGCGAGGGAAAAATTCCCACAACATCCTCCCCTCCAGCGGCATCCTTTTTCGGGGGTGAGAATCTTTATTTCTGTATCCCTGATTGATCCATTCGCGGGTCATTAAGGAAGAACCGACACCCTCCTTCGCGGGGGTTGAGGTTTCAGGCTTGTTTTGCTTAGCCAATTCAAGTCTTCTGGTATATTGGGGCGATCTTGTGTCGTCTTACACCTTATAGGTCGGTGTATGTTACCACGTTATTTACGTGATGATGCATACTGCTCTTCTAGTGTAGGACACTCAAAATCGTCTCTCCAATTACCCCGTGAATGATCTTATCTCGCTTTTTTATGAGATGGATTTAATTCATGGATAATTTTCTGACTCTATCCTTGCTTTGTTGCAGTCGAGTTCCCCACGGGCAGTCTCCCTCCTCATGCCACTACTGGTTGTAGCGGGGAAGTCTTCTCTTCGGCTTCCATCAGGCAGGCTATTGGTCCACTCCCTCAGTTCGACAAAGATCGTTCCGATGAATCTTGTCGTTTGATACGGGATGGAGGGCGTCATTGCTTACGCCAGCTGATTACGGATGCTTCTTTTACTGCGGATTCCGTTTCTACTCAGGCTTTAAAGAAGCCCAGTTTTCTGTTTGGAGATCATATTGAAGATCCTGCTAAGTTGATCCTTACGGAGGAGCATTGGCTGAATCTTGATGAAGGAGCTCTCCTGTATATTCCCTCCATTCCTCGTCAGTGTTCTTTCACTTATTTGGAGGGACATGCCGTAGAGAGACAGATGTCTTGGCATCTTACCAATGATGCTGATCAAGTTCATTGTGGATACACATCCCAACATAAGACTCCTGGTTCTATTGGGTATCATTACATCCGCGGTCTTCGACCAGGGATTATGGGTCTTAATACCGCACCCCCAGGCGAGGTATCAGCAGCCGCTCCTACTGTGAAGAATCGTCTGGCTCAGCTTGGGAGGAGGTTACCTCCACCAGATTTCAGATG